AGGTTATGGTCAGAGGGTTTAAATGGGTACCCCCCTAGTTGGGGTACAGGTATGGCAGATAGTGTAGAACCTTCGGGGCGGACTACTTAAATTAGGCACTCAAAAGGTACATATGTGGCTATATGTACCCTTACTGTAATTGAAAAACATAACTACCTAATAAAACGTTCTCTAGCCAAAGAGGTCACCTTAATACTAGAAAAAAAAAAAAAAAAAAAAAAAAACTAGGAGAAGGTAAGTCTCTAATAAAAAAAAAATCAGGTGATAAATAACACTGCCTTTAAGGATTGCTGTTTAAATACTTTACAGATAAGATTAATTAGTTTCTAAATACTTTTTATAAGTTTGTAGAATTTTTTTTTTTTTTTAAGTGATCTTGCCTTTATTTATATGAGCTGTTATATAATTTATATATATAAATATACTAAATTTTTACAACTTGTAGCTCTAACTCAATAAAAACTTACCAGGTTAAACCCAATGCAATTTGCTATAACAACTATTAGTCTTACTCGGGATCTAAAACTTACTTCAAATTTTAATTGTCAAAACAATACTCTCTTGATCATTGACAGGCTATTGTATACTATGTCAGAATTTCTTTTTTCTTTTCTAATTCTTTCTTCTTTTCAAGAGGCATGAGACAAAAGAAGGAAATTTTTTAAAAGAAAAAATACAAAAATGATTAGAAAAAACAAAAAATAAAAAATAAAAAAGAAACACTGATTGCAAAAAAAAAAAAACATAAAAAAAAATCTAAAACCCTGAAGGTATTATTATAACCCATGCATGGCTGATAAAAATTATATAACAAATGCAACATTTGTATATCTCTACTATAAAGCTTTGCCTTAATACAGTATTAAATTTACTTTCTAACTTCTCAACAACTCTGGCTAGCTCTGTTGCCCAAGAGTTCTTAGGCTAAATCCTGTGAAGTAGCATCATATTTGTCCGTAAACAAACACATGGTTGTATTTTGCTAATCCATCTGAATTTGGGAAGTAAACAATGCTGATCTTTTGGAGGAGGTAAGCCAAATCCCCCACTTTTTGTAAAAAATTTTGGAAGCTGGCAAGAAAGCAGAAGTGAGTAGGAGAGGAGTCACTTGGCAAAGTAAAAGAGTATGGCTTGAAAATAGCAAGTTCTTCACTGTTCTTCAGTTATTTTGCAACAGATTGCTTCGTTGACAGAAGAAAACTATAATCCTACCAAAATTTCATATACAAGAGCACACTTTACCAGCCAGTTATCTTGTATAAAGACACTTTTGGCTTGCATGTCAAATATATAAAGGAGTTTCTATAAAGCACAAAAGGTTGACCTTTATAAAAACCACACTATTGTCTACCTACTACAGGTACTATTCTACTCTTTAGTATCCAAACTTGACTTTTCTTTCGTAGGAAATTTTGGTTCAAGTAATTGTTGAAAAGAGTTTTTGATAAGTTTGTAGGATTTAATTTAGTGATTTCTTGAATTTCCTTCATTGAATTGGCTTTTTAATAAGTTTTTTATATTTTTCATTTATTTCTGATTGTATTAGCCCAATATTTTGTAATCCAAAATTGAGTGTTAACATTACACATTTGATAAAGTTCTTCCAAGAATATAGAGACAGAGTTTTTATTGCTATGAAATAATAAGGTCAAATGCTAAAAACAAACAGATATAAGATAACTGAACTCACATATATATATCAGTAGTTGAGCTACTATTTGTGTAAAGATATAAGATAGAGTTAATTATTTTTTGTATTAGTAAAATATTATAAAGCTTTGTCATATAACATAATAGAGAAGAAAGTTGAAAGATTGGATCTTTTAATTTAATATTTATTTCTTTAGTATAAAAATTGCTATCTATTGTTTTAGAAATACTACAGAGTATTGTTACACTAGACATCATTCCTGTTTTGTAAATTCATAATCACTTACTATAAATGTTATATTCTTTTTTACTATCACTTGTTTTTCCTTTCGACTGCTACTACAAGATATCTGGGTTTTCCAATCTTGCATCAGTGTTTATTATCTAAAAAAGCAAATATTGTGATATTTCAAAATTTAACTGCAAATTCTTTCTTATAGCAAAACAGTGCAGACATATAATATATATCTGGATAACTTACAAGTAGACTGTTTTTCTTTGGGCTGTTTCTGCTTATAGGAAATATTAAGAGTTAGTTTCTTTTCTTTTCAATACATAGTATATTGATGAGTTTTCTAGTTGTAATTGGCTTCAACTTTTTAGAACTAATTATTTTCTGAGAGTAAGGAATATGAAGTAGCAGATACTACTTCTATGTTAATAGGAATAGTTTATTTTGGATTTTAACAAGTAAATTCCTAATAATGCCTAGAGATCTAAATGTAGTTCTAGTAATAGTTATAATTAAACTTTTGAAAGATTTATCTATTTTTAGTCTTAATTTCTTTACAACTTTGTAAGCAATTATGCTAAACAGAGACTCTACTATCTATAATAGCAAAGTAGATTCAATCTTTTAAATCTACAAAGCATTTGACAGAAGTAATATTGTTGTTGTTTTCTAGAGTTGGCTTGGTGTTTTCTTGATTTATATCAGTAATATATCTAGTAAAAGCAGTATAAATAGAGTAGCTATTTAACAGATATTTTCAATTATTAGAAGATTTGAAGTTAGATTTAGAGTTTGATTTTTTAGCTAGTTTTATATTTCTATAGTAAGGTAAGAGTGAGCAATTAGATCTAAATCTCTATCTTTCTTGACTTCTATCTCTAGATCTACTTCTATTATAAGAATAGTTTCTGTCTCTGCTTCTATTTCTGTTTCTATCATGTGATTGACTTCTGCTTTTGTTTTGTCTATAATTGTTGAATCTATTATTATAGTTGTTTCTTTGGTTGTTATTGTTGTAGTTGTTGATGTAATTTTGTTTCTGCTTCTTCTATTGCTTCTATTTCCTTCTGATTTTTGTTTATAACAATCAGTAATAAAATATTTCTTTTTGCCACAATAATAGCAAAAAGTATCATCTTTGGATTACCAGACTATACAAAACAGAGCCAAAAAAGACCTAGCAAAGATACCACTAAAAATAAATCATCTATTAAAAAACCAAAACAGAATAAGGAAAAAGGCAATAAGAAAAACTCTAATACAGAATTAACATCTAACACCTCTGAACAAAACACAAATACAATAGCTTCTTACAAAGTAACAGCTACCGAAGCTAACTCACTAAATTCATAAACTAAAATTATCTCTGCTGATAGTGAAAATCAAAAACAAAATTAGAATATAATTATTTAATACTATAAATTTGGGATAGCCATAGCAAAACGCTTTAAGTTTCATTATGAGAAACCTTATAATGTAAATGATGCTAATAGTAAAGTAAAAAAAGAAATTAAAAAACAACTTCCCAATGATATTCCTGAAACTACTATTCAGAAAAGAAAAGAAAGTGCCCAAAAGATTTTCATATATTTAACAAAATTACAACACTAATTAAATCCAACCAATTCCAGAATAGAATAAAATTTATAATATCGCACCTCTTTTTGAAAATACATTCAATAATTATTTCATTATAAATATATACTGTATATAAGTTTGATTTACCTTCACATCATCGGTCAACTAGAACCAGTTATTGTATATATAACTAGATAATATATTGACAATACTAACTCACCAATGTTTATCAAAATGCAATTTGATATATAATTTGTCTTCCAATATTACAAGAACAGCTAGATTAAAATAAATTAATTGAATATTCTAGAATTCCTAATCTTCTTTTTAAAACTAATTCATATTCTGTTTCTTTTCATTCTTTTTATTTGATAATATAGTGCAATTACAGTAGAATATGTAATGTTGATTTTGTAATCTATTATTATATATTATAAGAACTCAGTATATATTTTCGTACCTCATTGCACTTGCCATTTGACTATGATTTACATATCTTTTATGAATATAACTTCAAAATGAATAAACTAGGATTTGTTTACCTAATGCAAGCTTATCAGCATTAGTATATTTATGAATCAAATTACAATATTGGAAAGAATTACCTCTTTAAAGTAAGTGTCAATATAACGTGAATGAAAGAACACTGTGTAGTCTTTATGTTCTTTGAGAATATTAGCCTCAACAAGTTTATGAATCATGTTGAGTGATATAATGGTCTCAGCTTGCTTGATGTCAATATGACCTACTTCGATAAGCTTTATGAAAAATTTATGGTTTTTAGGAATTCCCAACATGCCCAAATTTATCTTAATTTGTGCGAACAGCTGTTTCTTGAATTCTAATAAAGTAGAGATATTAAACGAAAACGAGTTATTTACGTTAAGAAGCTAAAGTTGCAACAAATTATATACCTTCAAATAAAATTTTAAAATTGACTTGATATTGTGCTTGGAGTTCCATCAATAATGTAAACCGTTCACTTGCTAGATATTTTACTAAAACTTTGGCATTTTTTTGATCAATGCCAAAATTCTGCAAAAATTTCACAGCTTTTTTATCTGAGATATTACCAACTTCAAAAGGAATCATTGCCTGTGACCAGGCAGAATGAGCTATAAATAGTAGATTTAGTAAGAGCTCCATATGTGGCAAAATATTAAAATTATAACATCTCTACATTTCATAATTTGCGGAATAAAGCCTTCACTTGTGATAAATATAATGACAAGGAAGCCTTTATCTGCACAGTCTTTCACAAAATCTTGAAGTATTTCAAGAAACTTTGGGTCCTTTTTAGCAATGCAGTCTACTTGATCAAGGATCAAGACTATCGGGTGTTTGTATTCTTTCATATATTAATACACTGTGTTGAGGAGTTGCATGTTTAAAAGGTTCCAATTAGAGTATTCTGAATAATCATCTTGTTTTACATGCCAAGTAGAACTTTTGTGAGAATAAATGTGAAAAAAAATTGGTATGAAGCACAAAAGAACTATATGATATCTTTTCTTATTGAATTGGTTATCCTCTGTACAATAACATCTCGAAGCTTAAATGGATATAATTCACAATTAAGATAGTTTGCCAAATTTTTTGCAAATTCTTTCACATTTGAGGGACACTCAAAATAAACAACACCCTATCAAGATAAAATCGAATGTGAATAAATCGAAAAGGAAAGAGATCATTAAATAATTTACCTTTGGCTATTGGAGATTCAAGATGGTATTTTGAACCAAGATTGTTTTTCCCGTTTCATGTTCGTCTAAAATTAGAAAGTATTTGTTTAAACGGAGTTGCAAAATTTTCTTCAGAGCATTTTCAAGATTCTCGCGTTTGACTAAAACAGGTAGATTAACCTCCTGATAGATTTTTCCTATCTTGAAAACATTCGCTATTTTTTTGTTCCGGGCTTCGGAACTTTTGTAGGCAAAGTACAAATAAGAAATAATAAGGCCAATACCCATAGTAGATAAAATTTTCCTCCTGGTTGGCTAAAATAAATAGGTAAGATATTGGAAAAACTAGTAAAAAAAAAAAAATCTCAATGCACTTTATTAGACAAGTCTGTCATCATGATCTCTGTTTGTCTGGAAAGAGCAAAATGAATGTTGAGGTAGTTTTGTTACAATCGACTAGAATAGTGTTTTATACTTTCTATTTTCTTAAGTACTACTATAGAGTTGGATCATTGCTAGTTGATGAGATCTGGTGAGTTTGAAAATTCCAACTTGAGATTGGAAAAGCCTAACTGACAAAACAATGAGGTGCATGCAATACAGTGGAATGTGAACATTGGATAAGTTCATTGCTAAAGTCGAAAAAAAAAATTTTTCTTGTATATATCTAATTCACAAAAAAAAAAAAGACCTTTGGTCAATTTTAAAAAGAACTACCAACACCACCACAAAAATTGACCAATAAAATTAGCTGCACATAATGTAGATCATCATATAAATAGGTACCCTTATGTCAAATTTTGTAGATCAGATCCAATAAAATTACAGGATCTCATATAACAAAACAAATGCAAAAAACATAAAAAATGCAAGAAATTGTAAATAACACGAAATTTTACTATGCCAACTAAAACTTCTGACCTTAAAAAAAGTTTTTAGCATGAAATTTTAGTTATAGGAAGCATTTTTATATACTAAACATATGGGAAATTTACAACTTAAAATTTTTAGGCCAGAAGTGATCTTCAGCCTGAAATTTGCTTGACATAAGGATACCCATATAAATTAAGATTTTTTTTACAACTTTAAAGATATCTCGACAACTGTAAAACAAAATTTGATGAAATTTTTTATTTTGATTCAACAAGTATGTAAAATCAAAATAAAAAAAAATTCATCAAAATAGCTTCATTTAAAGTTTTAAAAAAAATTTCATTACAACTTGAAATTTCTTATCTTAAATCCTTTTTTGATATTTCTAGAAAGTACTTTCACTCTGATTCATCGCTAACAACTTGGCTTGCCAAAGAATCTTTCCAAGATAATTCTTCAACAGGTTTCTTAACTACACCAGAATATAAATGTTGATAGAGAGAGCTTGAACCTCTATTAAGTTTGCCTTTGGAAGGTGTCATTTATCACCTGATTTTTTTTTTACTTAAAAGCCTACCCTCCCTTCTCCACCTGACAGTATATATAAAAATATATATAGGTGTTGAAAATCTGTAATTAGTTGTTAGACCCAGTATACATCACCGGGTTACCCATGGGTGGGTCAGTATCGGGTTACAATTTTGTCAACTTGCAGGTTAAATCCATGAATTAACCCAGGTAAAGGTGACAGGTCAACCTGCAGGTTAAACCCATGAATCAACCCAGGTTAAACCTGTAGATTAACCCACAGGCTAAATCTGTGGGTCAAACCGTCACTTGCAAATATAAATTAAACCTCTTATATATTAAATATCTAGTTCCAATCTTAATCCATCTATAATCTTTGATATAAAATAATCTTTAAATTGAATTTCATCAAATGCTCTTTATCCGTTTGAAATCTCCGTCATGATAACTCCAAGACTATAAATATTTCATGTTTGAGTATACAGTTTATTCATAAATCTCAGGTGCTATATATGGATAAATTTTCCTTATTTTACTTTTTTAGAAAGTGATATATGAATTATGCAAATTTTCTTGCAAAATTTTTCTGCTGTGTAAATCTCTGAATGAGATGAATCGACTCAAGAACCAAAGCTATATAATATAAAATGCTCAATTTATCTTTCTAATTGTATTACTTCTACAAGATTTTGTCATAACGAACTTTTCAACATAATGTTCATAACAATAATATAATAACCATAATTATTTCTTGACACACCCAAACAGTTCGAGAATGAAGAACTTTCGTAACCAATTCACAGAAGCTCTTCAATTCTTGGTTAAATTCTTACTCACTTTTGTTTGAATCACAAATAACTTTAAGTACAACATATCCCCATCAATCATTAATAATATAGAACCAAATACAGTTGCAAATCCTCCTTATCCCAGTTCCAGATAACTGTGAATTCATTATAATCATTCAATATAATTTAAATTTCTTACATCTAATATTCAGGATTGATATGTTCCGATAATTTATTTGTTTTTAAAGTACTTCTATATTTTTTGAACCAATAATCTGCCTTTTGGATATCTTTCTTTGTACCGGTACTATTTCGATAACATAGAGCAACATTATTCATGCTTCGTTAGCATTTATATTAACAGATTTTTCATAGTATTCAAGTGCTTTATTATAATCTTGATCAACCCAATATCCATGTAATAACGAAATCAACATTACACATTGCAGCGGTATTGCTCAAATCAGCAGATTTCTTACTTACTCCAATTCCATGATGATAACAAAGACCAACATCATTTATTGCTGCAGAATCACCTAACTCAGCTCCTTTCATATAATACTCAAAAGCCTTCTTTTCATCTTAAGACAGAATCCAAACAAATCAAATTTTGACAAGTCAAAATTCTAACATTGACAAAATCTAATAGTTCAAAATCCCGAATTATCAAAATCTTGATAAATTATAGCAAAAAATTGAATTTTTCACTAATTCAATAAGTTTTTAATTTGGCAATAATGAACTTTTGATTTTGGGTAGCGGTTAGTGTTTATCCGGATAATAATCAGATATCCGGATCTGAGTCTATTCGGATATCTATTTACAGCTGTTTTCATTATTCCTGGGACACCTGATAAAAAATTAGCCAAATGATTTTTCGGCCGATCTGGTTAAGTTGTTTTTTCAATTTTTATTTACTGTAATATTGATATAATATCTATATCATAAATTAAATTACATTGTTGATCCAATTTCAAAAATTACTATAATAAATATATAATACTTGTTTTACAAATTATTTTATTAAAATTTCATTTGAACGTTTGCCCAATATGCTTGGTGTGTTTAATTTGTGCGAAAGTTTATGGGAAAAACTGTTTTTGTCAACCAATAAAACTTG